TTCCTTTTGCCCTTTCCATGCACGACACAGTGAACATGAATGATCCAAGTTGTGTCAACCAGAACTTGTAACATACATGTTTTCCTTCCAACATGCCCAATATAGAGCTTGGCGAGCCCTTGCTACTCCCGCAGAGTTAACAAGGAGACAGTGGGTCCTGGATACTACTTGGTGAAGAAGGGAGACAATTGTTAGTGGGAGCTGTCTTGGCAGGGCTCTCCAAGCCTTACCTGCAGGAGCTCCCTGGTGGGCTGCTGCTGCTTCTCTTCTAGCTGGGCAATCAGGCTGCTGAGGTGGGAGATATTGCAAGAGAACTGAGTGATGGCACCATTGATGCTGTTGTAGATGGCCAAGTCTAGCTCCTCGAGGCGGGCCAGGAGGCGATACTCATGCTCCTTCAAGGAGTGATACAGCTGCTCAAACTCCCAAACAATCTTCTCTCTCTCCATCTGGGTCAAGCTCTGTGCAGATGACAGGAAAGGGCAGTGAGGAAAGGAAATGCTCACCTCTAGAGCCCTTCATATTTCTCCCCTGACTTCTTACTCCAAGGCCTTATCATTTCGTCCTAGGACACTAAAATAAGCACTGTGTTCATTTACTCATTATTTCCAGTCTTTACTGACTGGATATATAATGGCCAGAAACTGAGTTACCCCAGTGATAATTAAGACATACTGCCTGTCCTCAAGAACCTCAATCAAGTGAAACTCAGGTCCATGTGACACATGTAGTCATGGATGGGTAATTAAAGATAGGGTGACAACCTTTAGTGGGAGAAACTGATACAGTCTTCACAGAAACAATGATCACACAGGGTCTTGCAGGATGAACAGGAGTTCACCATCCACATAGGCGATGAGCAGGAGGGCTTTCCAGGCAAAAGAAATGGCAGAGGCAAAAGAGTGGAGAGAGAAGGCAATGGTTTTATCTGGCTGGAGCACGAGTGCTGAGGAGAGTGGCCAGAAAAGGTAAGAAGGCTGGCTGGTTAATTCAGTTGGTTAGAGTACAGCCTTGTAACATCAAGGTCAAGGGTTCAGTTCCTGCACTAGCCAGCTGCCAAAAAAAAGAAAAAGTTAAGGAAAGACCAGACCATACCTTGCCTGGCAGACTAAGGAGTAAGAACTTTACTGCAACAGGGAGCTATAAAAGACTGTCACAAAGAAAAGTGACGTATCAGATATGTGCCCTGTGGGGGACAGTTTGGAACAATCAAGCACAATTTCCTTGGTCAGTTTCCTTGGACCCTTCATATGTAATCCATATGCTTTATCTGGCCTTCAAGGGTGTTCACCACCTGCCCTGCCCGCTGGCTTTGGGTGGCTAGTGGGTGGTGGTGGTGGCTTCCCCATGGTTCCCTCATGGTGCTCACTTGTTTGTGAAACCTTGTCTCTCCTTCCTTTTCCGCCCCCGACTGTCAGCACTCTAGCACAGTTTTGTTCTGAACAAGGAGTCAAGTAAAGTTTAACTGGGACACAGCCATGCCCGTTTATTTATGTACTGGCTATGGCAGCTTTTGAGATACAAGAGTTGATTATTTGTGACAAAGCCCATACAGCCCACAAAACTAAAAATATTTACTATCTGGCCTTTTACAGAAAGTTTGCTGACACCTGTTCCAAATTCAATTCCTAAGAACCTTCCCCAGCTGACAACCCTCTAACCCCCCATCTTAGGGGCATTCACTGTGCAATTTAGTAATGCACACATACTTTTGTTCATAAATCCTTTCCATAAGTTCATGCCTCTTCTTAGTTGGGTAAGTCCTCTGCTATTTCTCAAAGGGGGTGCTCCTGGAAGCCTGATAAAGGCAATTCTGCCTGGCATAGACTGTTTTTTGTATTAGAGAAAATTTAGCATCCCTTCCCCACCTTCCCCAATAACTCAATTCCTCAAGTGACAGCCAAAGAAATACCCACACCACTGCAAGTGAGAAAAGGGGAGTACGAGCCTTGCTAGAGTACACAGTCTAGTCCAAACCATATCACAGATGAGGGAACTGAGGCTCAGAAAGGTTGTATCACTCTCTACATCTGTATAATCAGCCAGTGTCAGAGTTAAGAAGTATGACCAGGTATCCTGATTCTCAGTGAAGTGTTGTCTCTTCCCTTTGACAATCCTCCCACAGAGGACAGGACAGTTGCATCCATAATGATTGGAGTCCGCTCAGGTTCACTGAGAAGATTTTCCATCCATCAGACCTATTTTCAAGCAAGGAAGTCTCAGCAGATTGTGTGGGCAGATCAAGTGGTGGGATCTAAGGACACTATGGGAATGAATTCCCAGACCAGAAGTTCTTAACTACACCCTGGCCAGGACTGACAAAATTCCTCACCAGATAACACTAGATACTAGTCTAGAAGTTTGCTTTTCAGATGCAAATACCTCTAATGGGTGGAGATTTACAATATTTTATTTATTGTTCAAAAAATTTTTTATCTGCAGCTGGGAACAAGTAAAAAAAAAATTTAATACCTAGTTGGTAGATATATGTGTATATTATAAAAATCTCTGTGCTTTTGTTTGTTTGTTTGTTTTCAAAACAAAACTCCCAAATACCTCTGTCATGAATTATCACATCAGCCATTTGCCAAGGCCTTGGGAGACTGGGGTAAGACAGAAGAGTGAAAATTCAGAATTAAGGCATTGTCAAGAAAGGAACACACTAGAGATAAAACAGTGGGGCTTACACAAATTCACTATCAGCACCTGTCTGCAGAATGGTACCAAAGGAGGTTAACTGTGCCCAAGAATTTCATCTGTCTCAGCTTTTGTCAAGGCTCAACCCTGGTCTACAGAAAGCTAGCAGGTTAAACCTTATCAACAGGTCAGATTTCCAGAGGTCCAACCTTGGCTTCTCCACTCTTTTCCCCCCAAATGGGGGAATCCTTTGGTTCTCCAGGTGAGTTCTCACTGACATGTGGGGTCATTCCACCTGTACCTAGAAGTTCTGAGTGACCTGGCTGAACAAGGTTAGGGGGAAAGCATTGGTATTTGTGAAATCCAACAACCCTTACCAAGAGTTCAGCTCGTGCCTGCTCCCCCTGTGCCCGACGCCTCTTCTTTAAGTCTTTCACTCTTTTTAGATGGTCCAGCTGGTTCTGAATTTGTTCCTGTAAACAGCAAACAGTTTGGCAGCTCAAGATTAGGCAGATCTTAGCCATCAGCATAGCTATTCTGCTTATTCCATGGAACCCACACTCCTGATGCCAAGTCCCTGGTTAGAGATTGTCCTGAGACCACACTGCTACCCATTGGAGAAAGGCCCAGAGCACAGGGGGCCACTACACCTCTCCTTTGGCCATTTCTGGGTGTCCTGAACAGCGAGTCACCTACCTGTCCCTGTAAGGATACTCCATGGGTTAGCAGTGAGGTGACTAGAATAGGAGGCTTAAAGTTAAATTGTAGCTCTTCCGGAGGGATACTGAAAAAATGACTTAACTTCCCTCATTTTTCTCATTTGTAAACACCATCTTTTAACCTACCAAAGTGAGTGAAATGATATAGTTGAATACTCAATAAATGTAATTATGCATGAATACACTCACATTTAAACATGGATGTATTGTGTATGTATTCCTGAAGCCTTCAACTATACAGAAAATACACAGCATCACTCCTTGAATGTCACCTTACAACTGTTTTATATGTAATACTTTGTTTCCATATTATTGTTTAGCTGTGCCAGTCTGTTTGTTCAAAAGGCTCTACACGTCATACGACTTCACTTAATCTTCATAACTGTGTTATCTCCTGACACTCATAGTGGTTAAATGACTTACTTGAACAGTAAAGAGCTCTGTTCTTTTCCATGAGCTTCTAGAACAGGACAGATTACAGGAAGTGCTGGGGAAATGCTTATAGGCTAAGTGATGGACATCTGCTTGATATTTTACAGCCAGTTAACATGTGAGTTTATCTGGGAGCCGAGGGGACTATGAGTGTCTCCAAGCTTCTCGATACGTACGTGGTTTTACGCACATCTTTTATATTGTCAAGGGGGCTTCTCCATTGCACAACGTGCCCGTGAGCCCGGAAACATAGGGGCACACGGGGAAAGGAGGGAGGGGGCGGGGAGACTTTTGGCTTCCTCACCAGCTACAGGTTTTCCTCCCAAATCTGAGTGCGGAGGCTCTGGAGCGGACAGAGAGGAAATGACGGCTGTGAACCACACGTCCGGCTCAGCCATTTTCTAGGCGGAAAAAAGGGAACCCCTTTGGCTTTCTCCTTCCTTTGTCCGCTCGCGCTCCCGCCCCTCCCGGGTCCGCGCGCGGGGCCTCACCTTGAAGCCCTCCACCGCCTCCTCGAGCGGCAGCACGCTGTGGCCGCGGTGCTCGCGGGAGCGGTCGCACACCACGCAGATGGGCATCTGGTCCTCCTCGCAGTACAGCTTCAGGGGCTCGCGGTGCTTCTCGCACACGCCCATCTCGCCGCCGGGCCCCGACGGCCGCTCGGTGCGCAGCTGCTTCACCAGCTGGGTCACGTTGGCCAGGTGCCGGTTGGGCCGCATGTGCCGCTGCGGGAAGGTCTCCCGGCACTGCGGGCACGACACGTTAGTCTCCGCCGCGCCCCAGCAGCGGGCGAGGCACGCGCAACAGATGTTGTGGCCGCAGTCGAGCATCATGGGCTCGGCGAAGTACTGCAAGCATACGGGGCAGGTGGTCTCCTGCTGCAGGCACTCGGCCACACTCCCGGAGGCCATGGCGCGGGCCCACAGGGGCGACCGGGCATGGGCCCCGGCACCGAGCTCTGCGCGGAGCCCAACTCTCCTTTGCTCTCCCGGATTCGCTGCTACTGGGCGGCGCGGGGAAGCGAGCGGGGCGGACGGAGGGCGCGATAACTTCGTATAATGTATGCTATATGAAGTTATTACGGGTCAGGCTCACTGGGCCAAGCGCGCCGAGCGCGCAGGACAACGTGGCCGCGTCCGAGCCGATCCCCGCGGTCGCGCAGACCCCACCCCGGCGCGAGCGGAAGAGGCGGCTCGGGGGGGGCGGGGCTTGGCCCGCGCCTCCTGCGCGCGACACGGTTTCGTGGCCTCGGGGCCTGGGCTGTTTCTTCCCGGAAAGGACGGGGACTCCCCGCTAGCCACCTTAAGGCGGGACGTGTGGGATCTCCAGCCTAGTCGCAGGAGCAGGTGATGTCTGCGGGGCGCGGCGGTGACAGGGTAACCCCTGGCAGCACGCTTCCGCCCCACCTCCAAGCTCTCGCAGCCGCCGGGCCTGAACCGCTAGTCTTTTGTCGGGTTGCTCTTGGTGCCCAGGCCTCAGCCCCTGCGAGAGAAAGCTGGCTCAGCGTAGGTACAGTACTGGGAAGCGCAGCCATCTGGCCTCTCCCTGAGTCCGGAGGATGGGGGTAGCAGACTGAGCCCCACCTGATGTGTGATGCACTTTGTTAAACAGCCCATTTATAGGCACTTGAAATTTTGTTAGGAAAAAGAAAGGTTTAATTATCAGACGGTAACATTTTTGGAGGGCAGAAGCCTAGTTCTATCATTTCCCATCTATGCCCAAGCAAGTTGATTTACCATTTTGAGCCTCAGTTTCTCCTCCTGTGAAATGGGGATGATAATTATGCCCCAGCAATGAGGTAGACTTCATTATATCTTTTACTTTTTGAGCCCTAAAAATGTTTATTCATTTTTTAATAGTAATAAAATACCCACTGCATAGGATTATTGTATTCAGTAGTACCTAAAACTTGCTTGCTCCTTTCTGACGTACAGTATAGAGAGATTGAGAATCCTGTGGTGACCCAACCTCTTGGATTCTCACAATGCCCGTTCTCTTATCCAATAGACTTCCAACTCTTTTCTGTTGCTTCCTCATCCCTGACTTAGTATTTCCTAGTTTTCTTTCAGATTTTCTCAGTAAAGGCCTTGTGTCTGAGCAAGAGGGGCTTCAGTTTCCAGAACTCTGGTCCTCTTCCTTACGGGGCAAGAAGTCTGAGGAACTAAATGGATTTACCAACCCCAATCCCACATCCCCCTTCTAAACCACACTCTGAGTACCTAGTCTTTTAAATCCTAGGCCCAAATAGCCCTAACCTACTTCCAGAAAAATGTGGAGTACTTGGGCTAGATCACTCCATAGTCTGGTCTTGGTTTGAAACTGGCTCAAAACTGAAACCTGGAAGAATTAAAGGATGCTTCTATTCAGATTTACTCCAAAAAGAACTAACAAGTATTGCAAAACAGTGTATAAATATGAGAGTTGCAGATATATAGATAAACTGCCCATCATCTCCCCCCATATCTCAGGGATGCCAGCCTGGAGGTTGGCTTTGTTTTTCAGGATTGATGGTGTTTATTTATCAACCCCTTATAACCCCTGGAGGGAGGTGACCTGGAGGTAAGGAAGAGTAGAACAAAATAAATGGGTGGTGTAGATAGATTGGGATAGGAGTAGCGAAAGGGAAGATTTTTACTTGGTAATTTCTACCAGCCCCCTTCCTTGAATGATTACTGTCTTTCCTTCATCCTCTAGATTTCATGGAATTTTAATTCACTGAACTTGCCTGTTCATTTTAATTTCTATTACTCTACCCTGACCTAAATTATCGCAACAATGTGTCAGGATGAATGCAACAATTCCCACTAGTGATGAAGTAGCCAAATGGCCACTGCAGTTTTTAATCTCAAATCTGCATGTCACTGGTCATTTATCCTAGAGAAGTAGAAACTTATGATTACCCAAAAATCTGCACTAAACAGTGTTTGTAATAGCCAAACCTGGAAACAACACAAATGGCCTTGAATGATGAATGGCTAAACTAAACTGTTGGCACATCCGTATCATGATAATACTCAGGACTAAAAACCAATGATCTACTGAAACAGGCAGCAACTTGGATTGATCTCATGGGAATTATGCTGAGTGAAAAAAGTTAATCTCAAAAAGTTACAATCTGTGTGATTCCATTCATAGCATTCTTGATATGTCAAAAATTATAGAGAACAGATTTGTTGCTGGCGTTTAGGGAGAAGGGAGAGAAGGAGGTGTCCGTAGCATGAGGGATCCTTGTAATGAAACAGTTTTGTTTCTTTTTTTTTGCCAGATGGTGAGTGATAACAGTTCTGTTTCTTGACTTGTGGAGATAGATGGTCACATGTGATATCTACACATGTGATAAAATTGCATAGGACTAAACACACATAAGTACATGTGTGAATGTAAAAATGGTGAAATCTGAATAAGGTTGGTGGATGATATCAATGTTAACTTCCTGTTTGTGATATTGTATTATATTTTGCAAGATGTTACTGTGTTAGTCATTTTCTGGTGCTCATAACAAAATACACCGAACTGGGTGATTTATAAAGAAAATTAAATTTATTGCTTACAGTTTCAGAGGCTGGAAATCCAAAGTCCAGGGAATGCATCTGATGAAGGCTTTGTTTGGTGTGACTTCAGTGACGACCGAGCATCACATTGAGAAAATGGTGGACCACAGAGAGGCGAGATTAACCTCATTCACTGTCTTTCTAAAGCCCTCCAAACCACACCCATGACCAACATTTTTAATCAATTCACTACAGCATGGTCCTACAGTCTAATCACTTCTTCAAGGCCACACCATGATGTAATTATATATAAAACATAATTATAATGATATATATTATAAAAATATTATAATATAATATAAATTATATATAATTATATGCATGATTATATATAATTTTAATTATATAAATATAATTAATATAATTTTAATTATAGATGGTAATTATATAATTATGTAATAGGATTTCCCACCCTCAACAGTTACAATGGGAATTAAGCTTATAATACATGAAATTTGGAGGGCACAATTCAATCAATCCACAGCAGTTACCATTGGGAGAAACTGAGTGAAAGGTATACTGGATCTCTATTATTTCTTACAACTGTATGTGAATCTACAATTATCTCAAAATAAATTTTTTAAAAATTCTCTATATTACAACATCCATGTCTTCTTCCAGCCAGCAAATCCCTATTTTGCTGTTACTGAACTAATCACCATGGACAGAGAAATTGATTTAGGTTTGGTTTTACTACCTATCCCTGAACCAGTGTAGCAGGGGGGTTGAGATAATGTTCACAGGTCTATGCCAGTCAAGACCCATTCTTGAAATCAAAATCCTGAAACCTCATGGGTACTCTGGAGTGGGGTGAACTGGATGCTGGTGAAACATCTGTAAGGTTAGCTATATTCCGTTCCCCTGTCCTGACTCTGTAGTCACCTGGGCCCTATATCCATTACAATTAGGTTCTCCTAGGTAAACCCAAATAAGAGGCTTAGATGGCAGAGTTTTTATCTGTCTCATGTAAAAAAGTCCAGAAGAAGGCACTTCAGGGCTAGTGTGGCAGATTCACCATCCTCAGTGGCTCAAATCTCTTTCTATTTTTCTGTTCTAATGTTCTTGGGCATGGTGTCCACCCTCAGTGTCATCTCATAGTCCAAGATGACTGGATTCACCATCCTCAGTGGCTCAAATCTCTTTCTATTTTTCTGTTCTAATGTTCTTGGGCATAGTGTCCACCCTCAGTGTCATCTCATAGTCCAAGATGACTACTGGAGTTTTATAACCCAGGTGGGAAAGAGAAAGAGCAAAAGGTCACTTGTCCCAACTAAGTGAAACCCCCACTTTTTTTTAAAGGTAACCATTTAATTCATTGCACAAATTTAAACACCTTCGAGAGGGAAAGGGGGTGCTTTTAATAGCTGTACGAGGACAACAAGTGGAAATAGTGTCCCAGATAAACTGGGACAAATCATCACTCTGTTTTTGAAGATCTTTCTCAGAAGGCTCTTCTACTCCACGTCAACTTCCACTTAAGCATCACTAACTACTGCAAAAGGAAGTTAGGAGGCACACTACTATCCAGGATAAAAATCGGGGTTCTGCAAGGAAGGAAAGAAGAAGGTAAGAATGGCTATTGGGTAGGCAATGAGCAGCTTCTGTCACAGGTCTTGCATTAGCACTATTTGTGACCTGAATTTCACAGTTTCTTTAAAACAACTCCTTTTGACTCCATAGGCTCTCAGAATAGTATGTGAAATGTGGCAAAGGACAAATCCTCTCTGGTCCTCATCTCTTCCCTCTGGAATAGCTCTTTTATTGGGGAGGGTGGTGAAGGGCCGGCTGGCCGGTACCAGGATCTCAACCCGTGACTTTGGTCTTATAAGGCTGCACTCTAACCAGCTATGCTAACTGGCCAGCTTTTCATCTCTTCCCTCTCTTCTTCACTTTCTAACATCTTCCCTCAGCCAAAAGTGGAAAGTCCTTATGAAACAGACCTGAGCAGTGTGCATGCCCCACGCTGAGTCATCTCGTTAGCATAAGCTGTTGAGTGTGCTCTGAGGGGCCCACCAGGAACAGCAGACACACTTGTCACTAGGGAAATTGCAAGTGTTTAGAGGTTACTCACCAGGAGAAAACAAAGGCCAGACCTTTCTTTGAGTGAGACCAGATTCCTCACTATAGAAATACCATGAGCACAGTACGAGAAAATCTTCATAAATATATTAGAAATGTGTTGAAGGGCCAGCCTGTGGCTCACTTGGGAGAGTGTGGTGCTGATAACACCAAGTCAAGGGTTAAGATCCCTATATAGGGATGGCCGGTTAGCTCACTTGGGTGAGCGTGGTGCTGATAACACCAAGTCAAGGGTTTAGATCCCCTTACCGGTCATCTTTAAAAAAAAAGAAAGAAAGAAATGTGTTGAACTTGGTATAAATAAAAGTCCTACTCTTCTATTATCCGTTTTACCCCAGCTCGGAAGAGCATTTCAGGGTAGTTTGTAAAAGAAAACAAAGTAGGAAGCATTACAGTCCCTTTTCAGCTTCTTCTTGCCTTTCCGCTCTCATTGACTGAAGATGATAGAGGGCTGGGGATGGGGCACAGAAAGCAAGGATGGGGGGGATTGCCAAATTCACATTTAAAGAACCCTGGATTTAAAGAGACATGATCAAATGACTTGCAGTAATCTGAAGGCATTTTTGCTTTGAGGTAAAAAGGTGGTGGACTCTTTGTATCTTTTGAATTTTATACTATGTGTATGCCTTAGCTATCAAAACAAATTAAAATGTTAAATAAGGAAACAAAAGAGTTCTCAATTATCTAAAGCACTCCTTTCTGTGCAGGGAATGGACAGTCTTTTAAATTTCAAACTTTAAAATCGTGTTTCTAGACTGAAGGAATGACTTTGTTTCTGAAATTTTCTTTTTCATTTTGAGAAATATTGGTCCATTTACAAATAAGCCCTGAAAGCTCTTCTAACGGTAAAAGAAACATATGTTTCATTTTGAGATAATGGTCTGTCCACTCCACAGCTACTGAAAATTCCCATTATCAAACCATTTATCTTGCTATTTTCAGATTTATTTATTATTAAAATCTAATGCAAATCAAATCCAATTTTTTGATCTAGTTGGGTCTATGTGAGAAAAACAGGGAGTGAGAACCAAAGTAGTTAAAAAGAAAACAGCAAAGAAAAAACCCACCAACAGGTATTAATTTAAAAGTTACGGTACACACCCCAATGCTATTGTGTCATTATATGTCATTAAAAAGAACGTGTGTACTGATATGGAAAGATGTCCAGGTTACATTGTTAAGTTAAAAACAAGTTGCAGTACGTTATATAAAGTGAATTAATTTTTGTAAAATAATAATATGCTAATGTATATATTGAAAAAATATCTGGAGGAACATAAACCAAATTGGTAAGGGAGTAATGTGTTGGAAAGACTGGGAGGAGGGTGTAGATTAGAAGTGACTTTTCCTTTCTAGGATTTACTATATTTCTGCAATGTATGTTTTATTTTTACTACAGGAATATGTCATTTTGTAAGTAGAAAATACAGTACAAATAATTTAAAAGTAAAAAAAATGGAGGACTAGTCAGAGAGCTAGACAATAGACTACAAAGTATTACAAACCAAGAATGCGAGGCATGCTCCCTCCTCAGCCATTTTTTTTTTCTTTCAAATTTTAAAACTCTTCTTTTATTGTATAGTTAGTACTCCTTTCAACTACCTCAAATCCTGTTGCTAACACTAAGGTCAAGGATTCAGATCCCTGTAACCCACCAGCTGCCAAAAAAGAAAGAAAGAAAGAAAAGAAAAGAAATCCAACCACCTCAAATCCTTTGTGGCTGCTTATAAGAGCAATAATAACTAAACTATAGGACATTGGTAAACTCTGAGAGACTCTAACTTGCAATAAGGTCAGTGTTGAAGAAAATTTGGAAAGGCATTACTGATAAATTTGGCTAAATAGGGGTTCATGAAAAAATGCGATGGTGATAAAAATTGGTTGTGGTGGGCTTAGACTGAGAGTCCTGAATCCTAATGGGGGAGGGCCATTGTGAGCATAGCGTGGACCTGTTGACGATCTAGGCCGCAGTATAGGTAATACCAATCAGGAGGACCAATTTGGAGCCTATTGCAATAGTGTTTGTAAAGGACATGGGGGGAGAGACTAATAAAAACAGAAATGGGCAGAGAGGTTGAATAAGAATCAGAATACTCAGTGTCATCCTCCTTAGCTACTTCTAAGGAGAATGAAGCTGAAATGGTCAAGGAGGAGAGAGATCTTAAAATAGAGAAATAAAGAGGAATGCAGTAAGCAAGGGAACGAGAGGCAGAGAGAGGAGAGGCAGACGTCTGATAAAAAGAGAGGGATATGCTTGCATTTGGGGAAGAGATAGTTCTCCTTTTGAACAGGTGTGACTTTGTGGCTTTCTGACCATCTCCTAGAAACCCCACCCAGACAGAACCCAAATGGCATACTCTCAAAATGGACTACTATGGATCTAAAGGGGACTGACAATAAGTAGAAGGGAAAAAAAATCATGAGGCTTTTAAGAATAAGTGATTTTCACCACTTCTTCCTCCTCTGATTCTTTCAAGTTGATGGAGAAGGAGAGATGAGATGTTTATTTAATAGGTACCTATTAGAAGCTACTATGCACTGGACTCTATTTACAAGGCACAAAATCCTTCTAGACCCTGCAAGGTAGATGCTATTATTATCATTCCCATTTTTGGAGCTAGTCCAGGTAGACTAGCTCCAGGTCTTGATCAGGCCTTTTTTTTTTTTTTTTTTTTTTTTTTTTTACACTATATACTTGCATTGCTGTTGTAGGTGCCAAGGGAAAGCTTTTTCTTCACCCCTGAAGATTCGTTAAAAATCAGCAGCAAAGGGCTGGTGGGTTAGTTCAGTTGGGTAGAGCACATCCTTATAACACCAGAATAATGGGTTAGGATCCCAGTACCAGCCAGCCATCAAGAAAAAAAAAAAAAATCAGTGACAAATTCAGATGAGTATGAAGAAAAGGCATAGCAAATTTTATTTTAATGTGCATAGTACATGGGAATTGCAAGAAAGTGATTTACCAATAACCCAATGGGGTGCAGATGCTTATGTACCCATCTTCAGTAGGAGTAAATGATTCTCAGGGAGACGCTATGGGCCTGGAGAACGTACAGTGGACTGGGACAAAGTCTATATTGGCCCTCAGAGCAGACAACGACTGGTAAATGATTCTCATCAAAATGCTCAATGGGACCAA